TAGAGTAGAGTAGAGTAGAGTAGAGTAGAGTAGAGTAGAGTAGAGTAGAGTAGAGTAGAGTTGGAAGGGACCTTGGAGGTCTTCTAGTCCAACCTGCTGCTCAGGCAGGAAACCCTAGAGCTATGGGCCTCACTGTGCAACAAGTTCTTCCAGATACATGATGGTACCAAAAAAAAACCTGATTGATCCCTGCTTAGCCTTCCATGATGAAGACATGTAGAGAAGGGCTTGTAAAAATAAGTTCAATATTTGAGCAGATTTATTTGGGAATAAGTGGAAACACCAGGTAAAATGAGTTACTGAAATTTTCATATAATCCCATGTTCAGTGGCAAGGAGGAGCTCCCTCCAAATAATGTAACATAATATAATTTTTACAAAATCAGAGAAAATAAGCAATTCTGGATTCCCATCCCCCTTTGGATATTTATCCCAGAATATTACTATTTATCCCAGAATATTACTAATGTGGAATATTTCTTCCACAAACTAACCTCTTGGGGAGCAAAGGGGATGCTAGAAATTACCAGTTTCTCTCTGTTTGTTGTTTCATTATCCATCTCCTTTTTATCTTTGAGTATATCACGGTGGATATCCTCAGTCTCATGCTCAAGTCCATATTTAGTTTTAAGATGCTTCGGCTTAATTTGGGGTGCATCTATCTCATCTTTCACACGTGTCTGTTCCAAACTGATGGAGTCCATTAGAGCAACAACCTCCTGTAGTCTGTCTTCAGCTTGACAAAGAATATCATACTGTACCTTAAGTGAAAAAGCGCAAGAAGATCATAATGACAGCGAATCTGCGCAGTTTGACAATATTATTGCCCTCTATAAATAGGCTATCGGAGAGAATAAAATAGGGTAAAACATTCACAACATTTTTTCATATAGAATTAGATAGTTCATAAAGAAAAGTAAACAAAAGGCAATGTCTTTGTCAGGGATCATGCTTGTTCTCTGATTTGCACAGACAACTGATATCCATATTCATTTAAATCCATGAAGTCCTCGACTTACAACAGTTCGTTTAGTGACCATTCAAAGTTACAACAGCACTGAAAAAAAGTGACTTATGACTGTTTTTGACATTTATGATCATTTCAGCATTCCCGCGGCCACATGATCAAAATTTGGACACTTGGCAACTGGCATGTATTTATGTCGGTTTCTGTGTCCCAGGGTCATGTGATCACCTTTTGCAACCTTCTGACCAGCAAAGTCAATGGGGAAGCCAGACTCACTTAACAACTGTATTACTAACTTAACAACTGCAGTGATTCACTTAACAGCTCTGCCAAGCAAGGTTGTAAAAATGGGGCAAAACTGAAATATCTGTCTCGCTTAGCAACATAAATTTGGGCCTCAACTGTGGTCATACGTCGAGGACTATCTATAAATGAAAAAGCACCATGCTCCCAAGGGCATGCACATTCAGATCTCCCTTCTTCAATGACGTGAATGAGAGCTCGCTTGAGCTTTGGTGTTGCTCGTAAGAGACTGATAAAACAAGAGGCGGTGCTGACACCAAATTGCTTTAAAAAGAATGTGAATTATTTTTACTTGCACTTGATTCCCAGCTGACTTATCTGACTGCTAGTTGTGTAAGATGACTCAGTTGTGTAAGAAAGCAGCCATGGGGCAAATTGCAAGAGTTCTTTTTACCCTTGTTCAGTTTAATTGTTCATGCTGCAATCTTGAAAGCAATCTCATTTGGCATCGATAAAAACTCTGCACCAATAATCAGCTATGAATAAAAAGATGCTGCTCGTAAAACTCTTAATTTTCAGTATTTTTCTTTCTTGTTTTTATCAATCATTTTTATTCTGGGATGGAAACACTGTTGCCCAAATTTTCTTAAATGAATTTAGCTTTTCATTAAGGACTTTGGCAAGGGAGAGTGAGATACCCTCACTTCATTGTGTTTGCTGACTTTTGTCTTTTATGTTTTATGGGTTTTATTGTAATTTCCTTGATTATTTGTGAGCCATTCAGAGTCTCGATATTCAGAGGCATACAAGTTTAATATATTATAGCAATAGCACTTAGAGTTATATACCGCTTCACAGTGCTTTACAGCCCTCTCTAGGTAGTTTATAGAGTCAGCATATTGTCCCCAGCAATTTGGGTCCTCATTTTACCCACCTTGGAAGGATGGAAGGCTGAGTCAACCTTGATCCTGGTGAGATTTGAACTGCCAAATTGCAGGCAGCCAGCAGTCAGCAGAAGTAGCCTGCAGTACTGCACTCTAACCACTGCACCACCACAGCTCATTATCCTTATTATTACATTGTTACTCTTTCTAAGTTCACTGATTTTCAAATTCACTGGAAACAAAATTCCTCCTGACCTGGTTTTGCTCTGCACCCATAGGCTCCCACAAGTCCTCTAGGGAAGTTATCAAAAGTGTTGTCAACTCTTCACATTGCTGGTGTCCCTCAACAGAGCCTCCCAAGAGCTTAGTTGTATTCTGTGGTTTAAGGAAAAACTCAAGATCAAAACCAACATGCATAGATAGTTGTGCAATATAATAAAGTATTTTCTGCAGACTATTAGACTTTTCTAAAAAAAATAGCATAGTACCTCCCTGAACCCATATACAAATAAACAAACATATTTTATTTATTAAACAACTTTATATAGCCACCCAGAATCACTGTGTTAGAGTTAGGCAGCTATATAAAGGTAATAATTAAACTTTTACAAATAAATAAATACATTAAAATAAATATACCCTACTGGTCATTAAAGTGGCATGGTCTAGATCCGATTTCATCTTATCCTACCTGTTTGTTTGAATCAAATCTAATCCCATGTCTAATGAACATTTATATTGCAAGATATACACTAATAGAGTTTCATTCTGGATCTTCCAAACCAATAATCTGCCAAGATGCCAACCTGTAATCGGCAAAGAAGACATTTGTAGAGATGCTGTAAAGCCATCAAGGATTCGGCACTGAAGCTATTAGTGCATGTCTCCAAAGAATTGCGCTGCTTCGTTAGTTCATTTAAGAGAAGTGTTAGGCCTTCAATTTCTTTTAGAAGTGCAGAATAATTATTTAGCTGATTTTGCACTTGCTGTGAATTGGGAAGAATATCAACATTTAATCCTTGCTTCTGCTTCTCTACTTCATAAAACAATGCATTGATGGCATCTTCTGTCTGCTTGACGTGTTCCATTTGATGCTGGAGTTGTTCCTGGTCCCTATCATGGAAAAATAAATAAATATCAGTTTAATAACTGACCACTGAATATATAGGGCAGTGGTGTCAAACTTAAGGCCTGGGGGCTAGATCCGGCCCATGGAGTGCTTAGATCTGTTCTGCAGGGTCACCCTGGAAACAGCAAAGGACCGGCTTGTGGTGCCCCTGCCAGTGAAAATGTTTTCACTGGCAGAGAGTTGCAGGAGGCCGTTGCAGCCAAAAACAGAGCTCAGAAGCTCGTTTTCACTGGCAGAGCACTCGGGCCACCACGGGCGTCCCCAAAACGAGTGATGTCAAGCTGGCCATGCCCACTTTGGCCACACCCACCCCAGCCCCCCAAGGTCAAACGCAACCCTGATGCGACCCTCAGTGAAATCTAGTTTGACACCCCTGATAAAGAACAGAGTGACAAACTTGTTGTAATGTTAAAAAGCAAAAAGTTCACGTTTTTCATAAGAATAGGGTAGAATGCTAAATTAGTTAACAGATGTAACATACTTGCAACCTACAAAATACTGTATATATAATCATCAACTTCTGGGGACCCTGTTTTCTTTACCAAATCTTTTTGTAATTAATTTTTTCTTTTTAAAATTAATCTAATTTTTACAAATTTTAATGGTCATTATTTGCCTTGAGTAACCCATATGCAGTAAAGGAATGGGCTATATTTTAATATAAATAAATAAAATTGTATTTATAAATTTTTTCTATAGTGATTAGTCAAAAGCTTGCAGCAAAAATCTTCAGTTTTCCACTAGTTTCAGCAATATTACCCGAGTGGAGAGTTTCTGGCGGAATTTTACACTGGATGATATTATTTTAGAATGATTCTTCTGCATTTTCAACTCAGTGGACATTTTCATGGTGTAATCTAAGCTACTTACCTCAGACAGCCAATAACCAAATGAATAGTGGAGTCCCACTTCTTTTGGACATCAGAAACTATCTGCTCAATAGCTAGGTTCTTGCTCTTATCGTCACACTTCAAATGTTCTCCAACAGCTATGATAGTTTGCAATTTAGCATTGCCCTCCACTTTCAACAAAGCAATCTCCTGTATTGTAAGAAATAACATGAAGATAATTGTTTTTACTCTGTTTTGACCTAGCACCCAGGCTAGTTTTGACATAGTAAAATTATCAAGAGAAACAACCCTTTTAAAAAAATTAATTAATTGTCATTCCAATTAAATCTCACACAATGAAAATTAATAAACTGCTTCAAGTTCTTTTGTTAATTCCCTAAATATTGGAAGACATTGCCAATATTGGAGAGAGTGGGAATGGAAGAAATAGAAGATAAGTAGGATATGTTCGCTGCCTTGAATTATTTGTAAAAATAATAAAGGCAGGATACAAATAAATAAGTCAAATAAATAAAACAATTAAGTGCTTATTAAGCTTATAAAGTGCTTTTGTCAGGTATTATTAGGAACAAGGGTTGAATTCAAAGTACTGTTTATTACATGCTACCTATAAACAAGAATCTGATTTACTAACACTCAAGACAAATTCGTGCCAGATAAGCCAGAATTCACAGGGGCTGGACTTAAGTCTTTTGGGAGAACATAATGACTTCATATTGATGACATGTTTAAGCCTGTGCTTGACCTGTTCATCTTCTACAGCTTTGATATTGAACTATCAAATACTATTTTGCTATTTTATTAATTTAATTTGTGCTGGTAAAAGTTAAGGCTTCTGAAACATGGATTGATTATAATGAAAAACTGACAGAACAGCTTGTCTTGGCAACAATGTTAATTAGTGGTCTTTCCCATATTTAAAGGGACGTGGTGGCGCAGTGGCTAAGATGCTGAGCTTGTCAATCAGAAAAGTCGGCAGTTCAAATCCCCAGCACCACATAATGGAGAGAGCTCCCGTTACTTGTCCCAGCTTCTGCCAACCTAGCAGTTAGAAAGCATGTAAAAATGCAAGTAGAAAAATAGAAACCACTTTGGTAGGAAAGCAACAGTGTTCTGTGTACCTTCGGTGTTTAGTCATGCCAGCCACATGATCACAGAGATCTCTTTGGACAGCGCTGGCTCTTCGGCTTTGGAACGGAGATGAACACTGGCCCCTAGAGCCGGAAATGACTAGCACGCATGTGTGAGGGGAACCTTTACCTTCACCCTTTATTTTGATCCTCTGAGCTTGGAGTGGTTCCATCTTTAGTCTGGAATGTAATTGTATTTCCCCTTTTGGGACTGGCATGCAGGAGCTAGTGGCAACTATGCCCAAGGCAGCCTTTGCACAAATTTATCTGATGCACCACATATGCTCACATAACACTCTACTTTGTGGCTGTACTAGTTGTCAATATGCTTCAGGATGCAATTCAAGGTTGTGGTTATCACCTATTAGGATACAGACTTTGATCATTTGAGGGCTATTTATTCACGGGTTTGGCCTGGCCTATATATTCTATCATGCCTAGCATGCTGTGGGTTCCATCAATTAAACAATATCAATTGTTGGGATGCAGGAAATAGGCTTCTCTATCTTACTGCAGTCTGCTAGAACACCATTCAATCTGAAATTCATATGCTCACCTTCACCTGGCCTTTTTTAAGCAGACTTTTACAACCTGGCTCTATCCCAGGCCTCAGTTAGAATAAGTGGTTGATCTCTTCTGGAATATTTTAATTGATTAACTGACTTCTGCTTTCTCCAGACTTTCTTTGTGGCTTATGAATTAAATTTTTATTGGGTTTTTTTTATTACAAATAAATAAATAGTAACTGCAAACAGAGCATGGAACAGTTAAAACTAAAATTCAAGAAAAATGTCAAGCACGTTTAAAAATGTTTTTAAAATGAGAAAAGACTAAAGAAAGAATTATTGGATGGTTCTTTTATTAATAAAATGTAGAGCTTCAAGTATGTTTTGATACCTGGATTTTGAACAACCTTTCTTCCAGTGACATCTCAGATTCTTCAGCACTCATCTCCAAGACAGGTTTTTTTAGAATTTCCACCCAGCAAAAAATGTTCCTGACAAGTTCTTCAAAATGCTTTCTTTCTACACAATACATCTCAGAAACTCCAAGGGTTTTCTGTACATGATTAACCAACCTCTTGTATTTACTGACAAACTGGGCAGATTCTAGAACTGCTTCATCATTGAAAAATCCTGAGTTTTTCAAATAATTTGCCCGGCAATCAAAAGAATCAAACCACTCCCTGTAAAAGAATAACGATTGTGTGAAATTTAATTATCATCATTATTCCCCATGTCACCATTTATTAAATAATATCAGAACTGGACAAATTGAGTCAATGATCAACCTTCATATAAGGCAACGTCATATCAACTTTTTTTTCCAATTGACCAAGACAAGATGATTCAACATTTAAAATCACATTCTTTGCATTCTTCTGTTTCATCACTGCATTCAATAGTCATTCTTTAAATAGGCAGCGATTGACAACTTGAACTCAAAATCATTATATTTACTCTATTGCCTATGTGGAAAAATATACATAAATTTGTGTTCAATTGTGAATACCAAATCTTTGAAAATACGTTTTAGACAGGAACATTTTCATTAGAAAACATGAGTATTCCACTGAAACTAGCTCTCAAGTGAGGAGCAGAGTTAAATGAGTTGCTATAGCTAAGACAAAATACCTTTGTTTGAGTAGAATTTGATAAAAATGTTCAAGTCCTGTCTTCTCTTTTTGAACTTGTTTCCATTTTTCTTCCTGAGTCCTTAGCCACTTCTGCAGACTCTTAAAGTCCTTTTCAAGCCTTCAAAGAAATAAAATAAATACTTAGAAGAAAATCCTGTTAAGCTGTAAAAAAAAAAACTAACCATGAACAGTGGCACTTAATGCTATACAGGAAATTAATTTTGAGTCTAGTTCAGCAAGCTTACCTATTAATACTTATTTACTTATTTAGTACTGTAGGAGGAGGAATACATCAATCTCAAAACATATTTTGGGAGGATTAGATTTAAAGTCCATCTAATCACTCTGGATCACAATATAGATGAGGCAAGCTAAGTTCATTTTGGCTTCTTACCTAGCAAACTGTTGAAGAAAGTAGTGAAGCTCCATTTTTCGTGCCTGACATTTGGAAATTATTCTTTGCAATTCCACTTCTTGGTCCCTCACCCAGTTATTCAACTGATGGACATTTGGTTTGGGCAAATAGTTTTTTACCTGGTTCACAATAGTCTTCACCTCATCAATATCACTGCCTTTGTCTTCAAAATTTAGGAAACTCTAAAAAAAAACCATAAAAGAGATTTATCCAAGATCAGCAATATCTTTTCATTGCTGCTGATGTTTGATATGTTTTATAGTTTTATCTATCTATCCATCCATCCATCCATCCATCCATCCATCTATCTATCCATAACTCACTCCTTGATTATTGCAATAAGTGACAATTTCTGAATAGATTATAACCAATTGATCCGCACCTACACAACTGATTTTTCATTCAACATTGATGCATGATTTTTCAATAGAACTAAGTACTCATTCACATTCCTCTTGGCATAGCCAAGAAAAACCATTAACATGTAATGGTGAGTAATCAATTAATCAAAGGCTTCTATCACAAAACATCCATCCATAGATGATGCTTTCATGTGGCTGTGCATGATCTAGCCTCCTTCCAATAGGTAACACTGCCCTGGATACATATATATCGGAAATGATTGGATTATTCTATGCTGCTCATAAAAAAGAATCCTTCATAGAAGAAAATTATTCCTCTGTTTCATGATTTACTATTCCAATCTTGATACACTTCAAGACTGAAATGAATACTGTCACCCATCTGAATCAAATATAACACAGTAGAAAAGACAATAAAAGATAATAAGTAAAAATAATCAACTTCTCAAATAGCACAAGGCAAAAACCACAAACTAGGCTCAACTAACATCCTGAACCTAAAACCCAAGAGAAGAGCCAGGTTTTAAGGCTCCTAAAAGGCCAACATAACTGACTCATTACTAAGTCAATTAATTAAATTTACATAAAATTAGTCAATGAAATTAGGTAATTAAAATATATGATTTGGGCCAGGGAGACTCAGTTTTAAAATCCCACTTATCCATAACAGCCAACTCATGAACTACCTTACAGTCATAGTTACCTTTCAATAGATAAAATTTTAAAGATAAAAAGACTATGTATTATTTGTCGGACAACTTTGGAGGAATGACAGATTAAAAATATAGCAAAAGGAAAGATAAAATTAGAAAAATGCATAACATACACTGATTTAAACCCCCCTTCTTTCTCTCAGATGGAAGTTGTACATTCTAAGAATGTATTTGCCTTCCACAGACTGCATCAAAAATTAAACTAGGTTATGTATCAGTCTATTGAAGTGTCAATGGTCTATTACAGAAGTAAGTTATGGTAAAATGTTTCTAGAACCATAGCTTTACCAGGATCATCAGATAGGGGCTGCAAAAATCTGGATAACTCAAGATAGTAGTGCAGAATTCAAATTTTCTAGATATTTTGATTGCCATTCATGGTTATTCAGAATTTGCAACCCAGATCGAGTAGCCAAGCCTTACATTGCTCTCCAAGGCGAATTTACTAAGAAGGAAATGCTATGAAACTTCTCGTTTCTCCACACTACATTTACATATCACAACTTTAATCTATTTAACTAATTCTGCTCTTTCGTATTCTAAAAGAACACACAATACAGAATGAATTGAATTGGCATCCTTCAGTCTCAAGAGACTATGGTATTGTACTATGAAACCGGTAACTGCCACTTCCCGTGTTGTTTCAATGCTGTACGCAAAGCTGGTGTGTCCTCTCCAGAGCACAAGGCCTCGGTACTTTAATATGGAGGATAAACTGCCACCCAAGCAGCAGATCCCCCCTCTCCATGTCACTGAAATAGTCTAATGGAACGGCAGAGCCAATACAATTAGTTCCAGCTGCGTTGCAGGAGTTACCAGAACGTGATTGTACAGAGTCACGAACTGCTTTCAGGACTCGGGCTCCGGATTTTACCTCGAGGTTGACTCCTGAAGCCTTTTCCAATAATAGATATAACCACAAGGCAGTGGAGGTTTGAAATCAGAGTTTCCCTTCTCCTAGAAGATGAATCTACCGTTTATCACATATAGAATATGTGAAACTAAAATGCACCCTCATTTTTAATGTGAGAAAAACAGGGCTAATTTATTTAAAATCTGAAGAATCATGAAGGAAAGTAGTCAACACAATTAGCAGTCTTATGCCTTACTATTAGTTGATGAATTTTCTTTTCTGCCATCTCTTTTGTTTCAGAGGAGTCAAAACACTCTTCCAGAGAGATCTGTACATTGCTGAACCAATCATCAAAACGCTTACACTGGTCTGTAGGAAGATGCAATTTAAAATATATATATAAAAAAAGATGAGTAGGATGAAGAGACAAAGGGCTTCATTATTTGAATCAAAGCAATTAGCTCTATCATTGTTGGGCTCCTCTTGGGCCTTGGATGAAAAGCCTTTACAAATTGAAGTATCAATCAGAAAAATTGAAAATCCTTCAATAAGAATTATTTTACACTGAAAAATAATTATAGGTATAGATATTTAAAGCAATTTGAAAAAGGAGGCCGTTTTCCCTCCACACAATTATATCTTTAAAATTAAGTTACAAATCGATATTACTATATGCTTACTATAGTAACTATATTTTAACTATATAAAAATTTGAAGTAGTTACTTCATGAATGTTTCTAAACAGTTTAAGTATCATATTCTGTTTCTTTCTGTGGCTCGAAAACACTTTTACATAAAGCAATTGTCAATTCAGACTATTTTCCCCAGTTAAAATTTGCTTTTAAAGAAAACAGAGACAGCTTAAAATTGGCAACTTAAGAAAAAATAATAACTTTTCACTCACAATTTAAGAGAGTTGTAAAGTGATCCTGAAATATTTGTTTTTTTGAATTAAATAAGTCAGTGATACTTGTCAGCAGCTTCTTTAACTCAATAACATCAGGGTTCAGATAGCCTGTCTCTTTCTGAAGCAATTTCACATGTTGTTTTTGATGAAGAATCTTCTGATGTATTTCCTAAATAAGAAAGGGAATATCATTTACATGTTGTCAGAAAACCTATATGGAAATAATTTTGGTAAGCTAAGTCCTAGAAAGTCAAGGAAATCAGGAATATTAAGGATGACATTTGTTAGCATCTTTTAAAAGAACTTGCATCTTTTCCTGGGCTCATACAGAATCCAGGAAAACAGCATCCTGCCATAAATTATAAGGAAGGGGGAATGAACCAGTCAGCCATAAATTGCAAGGGAACCAGAATGAACCAGCCTCCAAGGACACCTGACCTGGGAACCAAATGTGAAACTGTAATGAGATGTGCCAAACATCCAAGCTGTTCCCAAAACATCCAAAAGGCATCCTATTGGTCACTGATGGATTGGTCAAGGGGGGAGGGCAAAGGAAAGGGGGGAAAGTATAACCTTTCTGTAGGAATATTCAGATCTAGCTTTACTTTTGCTGCAACCACTTAACTTTAGTTTCAATCTCAATTTCAAATTCAATCATTTCAGTCAAATGAAATCAAGGGTCTTTGTTTCCAAAATGTCTAAGTTGGGGCAGATCTGACACATTTTATTTAAAAATATGACAAAAGATATGATCTTTTACCAACAAGGAACCTACAAATATATAGTAACAATAAACCTTGGTTCACAGCTAAACTTAAGCAGCTACAAAGAGGAAGCCTACAGAAAAGGTGACAGAATGCTATACAACCAGGCCAGAAACATATTAACAAGAGAGATCAGAGCAGCAAAAAGAAGCTACTCAGAAAAGTTAAGGAATCAGTTCTCAACAAATGAACCAGCAAAGATGTGGAAAACTCTTAAAAACATCACTGGCTTCAGCAAACCTCCTTCCCAGGCAGAAGGAAATCAACAACTAGCAGATGACCTGAATGTGTTTTACTGCAGGTTTGAAAGGAAACTACAGCCACCTATCTCCACAACCTACATCTCAAACACACCAACAACAGCCAAGCCTCCTACAACTGGCCCCAACCCATTGGGTTCACAACCTCTGGTGATCACAGAAAAAGAAGTGCAAGATCTATTTCACAGACAAAAGCCAGGGCCAGACAAGATAACTCCTTCTTGCTTAAAAGTCTGTGCTGACCAATTGGCCCCCATCTTCACCCAAATCTTCAATAGATAACTAGAGATGTGCTATGTTCCTTCCTGCTTCAAGTGCTCTACCATCATCCCAGTGCCAAAGAAGCAATGGTGGTATTCAGCTGGTTTGCACCAGATCGGGTGAACTGGTAGGAAGAATTTGGCGCGGGTCGCCGAACCGGTAGTAAGTTCTGGCTGGCCACGCCCCCCCACCCGATTGCCCTCCCGCCTGATGCTCGCTCACCCCGCCCACCTGCCTGACATTTGCCTAAGGTATGTATTTCTTTTTTTCCCTCCCGATAATCAGCTGTGCATAGATCAGCTGTGCCGGGATTCCCCTTGCTGAGGCCCAGGAAGGCAAAAAATGGAGGGAGGAGCTCAGCCCCCCCTCCATGTTTTGCCTTCCAGAGCCCCAGAGGAGCCTTAGGGGAGCAAAAACGCCCCCCCCCCCACAGAGGCTCCTCTGTGGCTAAGAAGCTCCCAAAAACGGGTGGGAGCTGCAAAAAAGCCATGCCCACCCAGTCACATGGCCACACCCACCAAGCCATGCCCACAGAACCGGTAGTAAAAGTTTTTGAATACCACCACTGCAAAGAAGCCCTCCATCAAGGAACTAAATGACTACAGACCAGTTGCTCTAATATCTGTGGTTATGAAAATCTTTGAAAGACTTGTGTTGTCCCATCTGAAAACCATCACGGATCCGCTGCAGTTTGCATACCATGCAGTTTGCATACCGAGCAAATAGATCGACAGATGATGCTGTTAACATGGTTCTGCATTACATCCTACAACACCTTGAATCTCCAAATACCTACGCGAGGGTCCTCTTTGTAGACTTCAGTTCAGCATTCAATACCATCATTCCAGACACTCTTCTAAGTAAATTAAACCAACTAGCAGTACCTGAACACATTTGTAAGTGGATCATAAGCTTCCTAACAGACAGGAAGCAGCAGGTGAAGCTAGGTGGAATCACATCCGATAGCTGTACAATCAGTACAGGGGTCCCCCAAGGCTGTGTGCTTCCCTACTTCTCTTCTCCCTATATGCCAATGACTGCATCTCAAACGATCCATCTGTTAAAATACTGAAGTTTTCTGATGACACAACAGTGATTGGTCTCATTCGAGACAGCGAAGAATCCGCATACAGACAGGAGGTTATATAACAAGCCTCGTGGTGTAACTGGAACAATCTGGAACTGAATACACTCAAAACCATAGAAATGGTGGTAGACTTTAGAAGAAACCCTCCCATACTACCACCTCTTACAATACTAGACAACATAGTATCAACAGTAGAGACTTTCAAATTTCTAGGTTCTAGTATATCACATGACCTAAAATGGACACCTAACATCAAAAACGTCATCAAAAAAGCACAACAAAGAATGTTCTTTCTGCGCCAACTCAGAAAGCTCAAACTGCCCAAGGAGCTGCTGATTCAGTTCTACAGAGGAATCTGCACCTTTATAACTGTCTGGTTTGGTTCTGCAACCCAACAGGACAGACACAGAGTTCAGAGGGTAATTAGGACTGCAGAAAAAACAATTACTACCCACCTGCCTTCAATCGAGGACCTGTATACTGCACGAGCCAAAAAGAGGGCTGTGAAAATATTTACAGATTCCTCACATCCCGGATATAAACTGTTTCAACTCCTTCCCTCAAAACGATGCTATAGAGCATTGCACACCAGAACTAGACACAAAGACAGTTTTTTCCCGAAAGCCATCACTCTGCTAAACAAATAACTCCCTCAACCCTGTTCAACTATTACAAAGTCTGCACTACTATTACTGTTAATCTTGTCATCACTCCTTACCACCCATCCCTTCCCACTTGTGACTGTAGGACTGTAACTCTGTCGCTTGTATAATTACGATTTATATTGACTGTTTCCTAGTATGATTTGATTGCTTATTGCACCCTATGACTATCATTAAGTGTCGCACCTTATGATTTTCGACTCTTGAATGTATCTTTTCTTTTATGTATACTGAGAGTATTTACACCAAGACAAATTCCTTGTGTGTCCAGTCACACTTGGCCAATAAAGTATTTTATCTATCTATCTATCTATCTATCTATCTATCTATCTATCTATCTATCTATCTATCTATCTATCTATCTATCTATCTATCTATCTATCTCCACAGGCTCTGCATCACTCCTTTCCCTACTGAATTTAAAACTCTGCATAGTTATAAATAATAGCAATCATATAAATATACAATTACCAATGTCCAAATGTAATAATTTGGCAATGCTGACAGAAGTAAATGTGATTGGATTTTGTTTTTAATAAGTTTTTGAAATTTGTACCTCAGGTTATATTATGTTATGTTCACATATATTGCAAACAAAAGCTTGCTGAATAAGTTACAATAACCCAACTATGACATAACACTATTCAAAAATCACATTAGGGCTTAATATTTATGTGTGAATCTTGTCCAAGTATAACTAGATTGTGCTAAACCTATGTACACTGGTTTTTTTTTTACTTATATGTCCATCCATTATGGTTTAATATTTTGTACAAACTCTCTGAATCCTGGTTCATATTAATCATGGTTGAGACTGACATTGACATAATTTTTAACTACTGTGAAAGGCAGCAGGAGAATGGAATATGGGAAATTCACATGGAAGAGAGTGATGGAGCTCCTAATTTTCTGATCCCGCTCAAAGTCCTGTGATATCTGAACCAACCATTGAAATTCCATCATTATGTCATTGTAAGAGCAGTTCGAAGTATTATCTTCAGGTGGAATATCATCCACCTTGTCAAACAAACTAAAGATGCTTCTTTATGCTGTTGTACATGTCTGAAGTACCTCCAATTTTGTAAAAATCTCCAAGGTATCAGAGGGAGATAAAGCTTCCAGAAGCGATTCTGTCATTCCGATTTGAGTCTTGGCAAGATCAAGGTCTCCTTTCAGCTCTGTTGTACTGCCCTTGAGTTCTATAGGTTCTGACTTATTTGGTAAACGCTTTCTTATTAGCTCCATTTTGTTCAAAAGAGAAGATTTAATAACCTGAAAAGGAGAAAACCAGATGCCAACTTAGTTTAGTTTAGTTTAGTTTATTGTCATTGCACCTCATACAACGAAATCAATCACCTTCAGTGCACATCATGACTGTGAAAATAAACACAAACACACACCCTTCACACTCCACACATTGAATTGAAAACCCCCAACACCGTACCAGCACTGCACTATACAGTGGAATTCAACAGAGCTACTGTCTTGGGATATAAGTTCTCATTGACTATTTTAGTACACATTTGGGAGAAATATTGCTATACGTATCTGCCTTTAAATTACAATTTCCTTCTTTTTTTGCAGGAATTGATAAATACATCTCATATTTTAGGTATACCCAAAATTTATTTAAAAGGTTGAAACTAGTTGTTACTGAAAAAGGCATTCCATGTTCATAGCTAGTAACAATGTCTTCATGATAACATTACAGTGTAAATTTCCTTCACTCCAACACAAAATCTTATCATTTAGTGAGTTTTGTTTCAGAGAATTAAATCAAGAAAACCAGTTGTAATTAACAAATGAAGGCAAATACATGTGTCCCAGGATAATATTGCAGGATCCAGTCTGGGTCGGTCACCAGGACCAGAGGTTTTGTCTTCCAAGCTTTCGACTCATGCTGGAACCTGTCTTCAGAGAACTGTGTTGTAATTAAGTTTGTTTTCATAATAATATGTTTGGAAACATGTTGTATCATAACCTAGCATTCAAATGAGATGTTGACCAACTACATCACAACTAATTAGGGACAACAATCACTGCCAGAAGCAACAATATATGTGCTTCAGGACAGAATATTTCTTCCTTCAGAAAAATCATTTCTACTATGCACTACCACTCTTATTCAAATAATTTCCCTGTAACTTCGGTAGAATATTTCTATCATTTTCTTGAGAACGTCACTGAAAATATTTCCCTTCTTTCATGGCCTGCAAAGGATGTTGTAAAAGTTGTGCAAATGTTTTGTTGCAGTCCTCCCTCCCCAGAATGTTAAATTTAGGTGCTAAGTATCTTTATTAGTGTTATACTCTTTCGTGACATGCAACACAGAGAGGATGATGAGAAGTTTCCCCTTCTACACAGATACTCAAATATTTATGAGGAAGGCACTTTCCAAACACACACAGATGTACATACTGATGCACAAGCACACTTATAGGTTTTCATGATTTCAGGCACTTCTGGCAAGGCAAGTTTCCAGAAATTTCCATTTCTTAAGAGTGGACACAGATGTCCCAATCCTTTTAATCTCAATTGAGATGACTAAGAGGAAAAAAAATAGGTGAATTAGAGCTACTGCATCTCACTGTTAAAACCATTAGATGCGACCATTTTCAGCCTAGCTAATTACTGACCAACTCAATCTTTGTCCCTTGAAGTTAAACAGCAAGGAATGGGGTCTTCTTGGGGTTTTCTTCCTATAGTCATCTAGAGAGAACTAGACCTTCTTATGAGTGAAAGGGGAAAAAAGAACCTTCTTCATAGGACTCAAGGAGAAACATAATACATCTTGACCTCTAGATGTAATGAACAATCAGATAGCACCCGTTTGTATCTTAGTGGTTGTAATCTGGTAACATAGCTCAGAAACTGGCACCAAAGATTCTGTTACTTCCAAAATATCACAGCACTTTGAGTCAATATCAGATAGTCAGCTTGAAGAAAAGTAACAGAATAGAAGACATTTGCCTTCTTTCATCTTCTCCTATATACTTGGTCGAGGAGAGGAAACTAAGAGATGTGATATTGAATATTAGCTGAAGTAGTAATTACCCTGCACTGTCCAATTAAAGCAGTGGGTCAGACCTGATGGCAAAAGAGACCTTTACAATTGTGTTTTATTTTCATTATTGCAAGGCAATACGAAGGCATAGAAAATCTTTTTTGGACAACAAAGATAGGCAGGCCTATTATATCAACCACAATCATAATTCTTGTTATTCCTCCTCTTTCACCTGTAGTTCAAGTGGGGGTTCACTGCTGTTAAGAAGATCCTGAATTTCATCCACCTGTGTATCAAATTTCTCTAACTCTTTTTCTTGGAACAGGACATCGGCCTGAGAAGATACAGAAAACAGATTATGTACAAACTATCCAATTGTAAATTTTATTTTACCAGTTAGTATTGAGTAGAAGTCATAATCCGCTGCCCTTGAAGATCGCTAGGAAGCAGCAACTGGGCCAAAATGCAATGGCATAAGCAGTTATGAACAAATTCAGAATACCCATGTAACCCCTCTAGACTGATTACCAGTGATGATTACCTCCTATAAAGCTAATGTAGGTAATACTGAACAATATAAGGGAGTGATTTGACTGAAAATAAAAGAGCTTTCTCATGACAGACACATTATTTGCAATGGATTCCTATTCCTTTCTAGAACAGGCTGCATCTTAACATAAGAATGGTAAGGGTTTTGAAGATCTCATATTAAATTTTGTTCAAAATCTACTATCATTTTGATTAAAATTCCCTTTTCATGATAAAAATAGCTTTTTAAATGTATATTTTTCATATCTGCATCTCATAAAGGTATTTTATGAATGAATCTATCATTGCATTCAAGCAGAGGAGAAGAAAGCCAGTATATTACTTGGGATGTGTATAAAAGAAGCATCCCGAAGGCAGTGTTTGTGGTGATCAATAAGTAAATGAAAAAATGGCAGAAATGCTGGCACTATGGAAGAGAGAACAAGGAGGAAGAAAAAAAGATCAGAATTTTATATCTTGAATCAGAGCTTGACAGCATTGTCATTATATCTTGACAGCATTGTCCCATTCTTCATCTAGTTTAGAAAAAGTTGCCTGCAATTACAGAATAACAAATAATCCCTATCAACCATACCTCCAATTCTTCCAATTTCTTTTCAGTCACATTCCCATCTTCTAAGTTCTTCTGCACTTCATCTGACCATTCGTCAATCAAACTGGATAAGTCAAGAAGCTTGTCCCATAAAGCCAGAGCTCTTTCTAGGTTTTCACAATAGCTTTCAGTCCGCTCATTGATCTGGAAGAGGGAATTATGTTTCCCCCCAAAAAAGAAAGAAACAGAACATAAAGCTTTCTAATCAAGTAAGAACATGAAGAGAGGCAAGGTAAAATGAAGCCAGACACAGAAACAAATAAGGGGAGGGAAGTAATCCAACATTCCCATGGGATACAGCCAATTTCTTGCTAAATATGGCTTTAAATATTATCATATCAAAGATCACAATAGCTCTCCAGACTCTAGAAACAGGTTTGGCAAGGTGGCTTGGTTTATTAGATGGAATCTTCTTCCAATAATGTGTCCTAACTGGTTTTAGTTAGGAACTGCCTGGGCATATTCATTCAGCAGTCAATATTCTTCTCTATCTTTTTAAAGCATTGAAGTAAGACATTCTTAATATCTGCACTCATGGAAAAACTCCTGGGAGCGCTAAGCAATATAAACAGCACGACATAATATTGCTTGTTTGTTTACATCTTTGAGAATTATCTTCAACAAGAATTTCCTTGTGGTACCCAATAAAAATATGCATTTCTTTGAGTCCCATTTTGTATTAAACATGCTCCAATTATAACTCAAATTTCCCTCCTTTTGGGTTCTTCATCATGCTAAATTTAATTTAATTGACTTTGAATAATATTTGGAAGTCAAAATTAATTATTACAATGAATGATAATTTGGAAAATCCTTATAGTTAGTTTATATAACATACATCCAGCCATCGGTCCACAATAGCATTAGCCTCATTCTCAAATGGGGGCTCCTCAAAACTCTTCATTTTGTTCACTTGAGACTGAAGATTTTTGCACATTTGGTTTAATCTATCAACATCTTCAGAGTAACTGTTAAATTCCTCCTTTGCCATGTTAACCTATGAAAAGATGAGAAAATCCATTTAAGAACAAATCTGTTGCATTTGTGGGAAATTCTAAAGAGTAAGAAACTTATCAAAATGGAAAAGGAGAGAGAATGCATTGCCTTTGATTTTCAATATTTATATTCGTTTCAGCATAAAACAAGAATGAGGAAAAAAAGTCATGGAGCTGTGCTTTAATATGAATTTTCCAAGTTTTAAAAAATTCAATTATTTTTTAACAAGAATTAAGTCTATTCAAATATTTTAAATCTTCTGCAATATTCTGCTTTGCTTTTATGCAAATGCACTCATTAACTTGCACAATAGCAATATCTCAGGTTAATTTGTTTATTCATCTTCTTTTCAAATATATGGACTTGCAATTCTCCTCTCATACATTTTCCATATACTGTTCATATAATATTGAATTATACTGTCAAAACTATGTTGAGAACAGGATTATTGATGGCAAATCAAACCTCAAATATTTTGTTCTACATAATAGGGATCCCCAACCCCCGGTCCATGACCGGCACCAGTCAGCGGTATGCCAGTAACTGGGCTCTGCAAACAAGTGAAACTCCATCCATGGGATGAAGGCAGCACATGAAACCACACTCCCTCCAGTCCACAAAAAAAAACTCTCACCGCAGAACCGATACCTGGTGCCCAAAAGTTTGGGGACTTTTGCTATATAAAATAGTAAACACTGTTTTTCAGGTAATGCAATATTTCCTTCGATAACTACAGTTGTTTCCCAAAATAAATCACCCATTTTAATTTATAGAATTGTGTCACCAAATCTGTGTCTCTGAAACTTGCAAAATGTCATTTTTATTTTCCACTTTGGGCTTCCGAAGTGGCTCTTTTATGCCCCCAAAACACATAAACACAGGCAGTGGATCATTGACCTTTACTACTTGGCAATTATAAAGCTTTTGTTAATGACAGCTTTGTTCCCTGTCAGACAATACTCTGTTTTTAGTACATCCAGCTAGACAATGAGAAAAAAGGACAAAGGTTTTGAAGCAACAGATGATAGGCAACTGGTCCTCTTATTCTCCTAACAGAAAAAAATAAGCATGAAACTCTGCATACTTTTTTGGGGGTGGGGGGGTGGGGAGAATTCTGACCAATTTCTTTCCTTAGAAATGTCAATACAGAATTGAGCCAGATAAGGAACGACATGGCAGACCTGTGTACCAATACCCTTTAAAAAAAGGCTAAAAAAAAAAGCTAAGGACCCTCTCTTTGCACCTGTGAATTAATAAACTGGAAATATTGCACTTGATGTGTGAGAGAATGCTCATGGCATTGTTGAATCCAAATAAAACAACCTTGGCAGAAAGGAAAGATATATCACACATAAGTATTTGGATTCTGACTCTTATTATTAATTACATTATACATAAGTTGGGGAGAATCCTAAAAGACCAGGAATGATAAATCTTTAGGCCTTTATTTAAGTAACAGACACAGAAAGAGATGTCAAGATTCTTCTGAAATGGAATGACCCATTTCAAGTCCTCTTTGAGGTGAAGTTAAATTTTCAAGGAAGGTAATGTAACAAAAATGTATTATTGAATTCTGAATCATCTCTTTTCTTTATATTGGGGTGTCAAACTCATGTCGTCACAGCAGCATCACATGATGTATCAGGACTTTTTCCCCCTTTGCTAAACCAGGCATGGGTGTGGCTAGCATGTGACGCATCCGGCCCATGGGCTTGGAGATTGACAGCCCTGCTTTATATATTTAGTTAACGTTGACATTGTTGCCTATTGATAAACTTTGCTTCCCATTCAAGCATGGAAATATTGACATACTCAAATATCCTAAACAAGTAGTCCTTACTTTACAACAGTTCATTTAGTGACTGTTTGAAGTTACAATGGCACTGAAAAAAGTGACTTATGACCATTGCAGCATCCCCATGAATCATGTGAACTTTTGCGACCTTCTGACATGCAAAGTCAATGGGAAAGCCAGATTCACTTAACAACTGTGTTACTAACTTAATAACTGTGGTGATCCACTGAACAAGCAAAGTCATAAAATAAGGCAAAATCCACTGAACAAAGTCTCACTTAGCAAAGGAAATTTTGGACTCAATTGAGGTAATAAGTTAAGGGCTACCTCTATTAACATCTTGTTTCAGAGGTATATTTCATGATTTATGGAAAGTTGGGTATCTGTGAGCAATTCTTCTATTCTACAGTAAGCACTTTCCATGAAACTTATCTGTATCTTAATCAACAGGGAACTTTGCCTATAGACATGGTAACAGCTAAAAAATCTCAACACTTGCAGGATGAGGCCTGGAAAAAGCCCAAAAATTGTTGGCTTGGGAGTTTTGTCTCCTATCTCCCCATGAAGTGTTGATGGCAACACTGTACACAGGTGGAGTTTCTCCAATGAATCACTGCTAAGAAGACGGTGTTCCATAGCAGAGAAGATTTGTTTTCCGATTGCATCTACAGCAGATGCAATTGGCACTTAATAGGTATTAGCCAAAGGGCACCAAACAATGCATCTCTGGACTGTAATCTGCATGGATTCGTAATTCCCATTTCATTAGAACATGCTATACACACTCCTAGAGTAGGATTATTAGGATTTTATCATTATTCAATATGAATCTGTAAGTTACTAGCTGCACTGGATAGGCAGCAACAGACCAAAAAGTAAGGCACAGTTTCAGCCTATCAAACATAATGTTCTTGAGCCAGACACTGGCAGCTCAAATTGAGGATAACACTCTGAACTGAGGATGTTATAGAGTTTCATGACTAGGGATTAGACCTTTGTGTCAATTGATGATATACAGTGGTGGGATTCAATTTTTTTTACTACCAGTTCTGTGGGCATGGCTTGGTGGATGTGGCAGGGGAAGGATACTGTAAAACCTCCAGTCAGAGGTGGTATTTGCCGGTTCTCCAAACAACTCAAAATTTCCACTACCAGTTGTCCAGAACTGGTCAGAACCTGCTGAATACCACCTCTGATGATATACCTAAAGCAGTATATAACTGATGATGCACTTAAAACATTACAGCTGTGTTTTAATGCAGTATCAGCATTGAATCGAATTGATCAATCTGATCTTCTGCAATAGTTTGAATTCAATTTATGGAATGCAAATTAAAAAAAACCTTTTCCAACAGTGACCACAGCATTATTGACTTTTATCTCAACATACGTCCACACAAAAATCAACACAACAATGTGATCCCCAATTATAACTTCAAAAAAGGCAGCTATGATCTTACAGACAACGATCTCTCATCCCTTGATTGGCAATTTCTATTCACTGGATGCAATACTGTTGAAGACCATTACAACATATTTTCACTTGAAGTCAAACAAGTCATCAAGCTATATGTACCACTAACAACTCCAAAAATAAGAAAAAAACAGATTACCCATAACAATAAGGAAGCTTCAATCTGAATGGTCTAACATATGGCAACTTCAAATCTCAACAAATAAATGCTCTGTCTTACATATTGGTAAAAAAAATCAGAAAATAAAATACAAGCTGAATAGTCAAGATCTTGTTGACGACCCAAGCTCTGTAAAGGACCTGGGAATACTCACTTCTAATGATCTAAGTGCTAGAGCCCACTGCAACTACATAGCCAAAAAGGCATTAAGAGTTGTTAACCTAATCCTACGTTGCTTTTTCTCTGGTAATATCTCACTACTAACCAGAGCATACAAAACATTTGCTAGACCAATACTCGAATACAGTTCATCAATCTGGAATCCTTATCACGTATGTGATATTAACACAATTGAGAAAGTCCAGAAGTATTTCACAAGAAGAGTTCTCCACTCTTCTACCCGTTGTAGAATACCTTATGCCACCAGACTCGAAATTCTAAAACTAGAAAACCTCGAATTACGCCGTCTTCGGTCCGACTTAAGCATGGTATATAAAATCATACATTGCAATGTCCTACCTGTCAATGAATACTTCAGCTTTAACCATAACAACACAAGAGCACACAACAGATACAAACTCAAAGTAAACCGCACCAAACTTGATTGCAGGAAATACGACTTCAGCAATAGAGTGGTCAATGTCTGGAATACTCTACCCGACTCTGTAGTCTCTTCCCCAAACCCCAAAAACTTTAACCTTAGACTGTCTACTATTGACCTCACCCCTTTCCTAAGAGGTCTGTAGGGGGCGTGCATAAGCGCACCAACGTGCCTACCGTCCCTGTCCTATTGTTTCTCTTATTCTTTTATTTTTCTTATATGTACCCATTTCATATATTCACAACTATGTATACACTTGTACTTATTATCTTGTAAACAATTGACAAATCAAATAAATAAAAAAAATAAAAAATAAAAATAAATAAATAAATAAAATAAATAAACAAAAAGAGATCACTTTGGCGGAAAAACAAATCTGGTCACTTTGCCAACTTCAAAAGTCGGTGCAAAAATTTATGCCACCAGATAAAGACTGAATGCACCAATTATCACATTAAACAAGAGGAAAACCTCCTACGCACCAATTCCACCTGCACTTTCTACAGTTTTGTAAACAACAAACTAAAAGACTCAATGTCCATACCACCCCTGAAAGGACCTAATGGTAAAGACTGCAACGATGACACTATTAAAGCCAACCTCTTTAACACATTCTTTGGCTCAGTATTTGTAAACAGCAATGGATCATGCCCAGTATTTCCTAGTCGAACCACAGACAACTACAATGATCTAATACTTATCAGTTTTACAGAAGATAATGTTGAAAAAGCACTATGCAATCTAAAACCATCTCTATTTATTGGATCAGATGGAATATGTGCCTACTTCTTAAAAAAGCTACCCACTGCAATAACCAAACCTCTAAGCATAATCTTTGAAAAATCTTTCAGGACCAGCTCCTTGCCAAAACTATGGTCACAAGCCACGGTCATGCCCATCTTCAAAAAATCTTCAAAAAGGGAGATCCCAGCCTAGTTGAAAATTACAGACCAATCTCTTTATGCTGCGTCACCTGTAAAGTCATGGAATCAATTATTAACCAATCCATCATCCTCCACTTACAAACAAACTACCTACTCTCTAATAAACAATTTGGTTTCAGGAAAAAGCTATCATGTAATCTGCAACTCTTACACTGCAAAAACATATGGACTACACAACTCAATCAGGGCAAAGCAATAGACGCAATCTACATAGACTTCTGTAAAGCCTTTGATTCAGTGGTACACAACAAACTACTCCTGAAACTAAAATCTTACTGTATCTCAGGACACCTGCATAACTGGATAGAAGCATTCCTGTCAAACAGACAACAAATGGTCAAAATTGGGAGCGTTCTATCAAATTCTGTACCTGTCAACAGTGGTGTCCCCCAAGGCAGTGTTCTAGGACCAACTCTTTTCATACTCTACGTAAATGACCTCTGTGATCATATCAAGAGCAACTGTGTTCTCTTCGCTGATGATGTACAGCTATTCAACATCACAGACAATACTGGTACCCTTCAAAAAGACCTTGACTATGTATCAGAATGGTCAAACAAATGGCAACTTCAAATCTCAACAAATAAATCCTCTGTCCTACATATTGGCAAAAAAAATATCAGAAAATAAAATACAGGCTGAATAGTCAAGACATTGTTGATGATCCAAATTCTGTCAAGGATCTTGGAGTACTCATCTCAAATGATCTAAGTGCTAGAGCCCATTGTAACTACATAGCAAAAAAGGCATTAAGAGTTGTTAACCTAATCTTACGCAGCTTTTTCTCTGGTAATATTACATTAATAACTAGAGCATACAAAACATTTGCCCAGACCAATACTCGAATACAGCTCATCAGTCTGGAACCCACATTACGTATCTGATATTAACACAGTTGAGAAAGTCCAGAAATATTTCACAAGAAGAGTTCTCCACTCCTCTACTCGTTGCAGAATACCTTATGCCACCAGACTCGAAATTCTAGACCTAGAAAATCTAGAACTACGCCGCCTTCGGTCCGACCTAAATATAGTATATAAAATCATACATAGCAATGTCCTACCTGTCAATGAATACTTCAGCTTCAACCATAACAACACAAGAGCAAACAATAGATACAAACTCAAGGTTAATCGCACCAAACTTGATTGCAGGAAATACGACTTCAGCAACAGAGTGGTCAATGTCTGGAATACTCTACCTGACTATGTGGTTTCTTTCCCAAACCCCAAAAACTTTAACCGTAGACTTTCTACTATTGACCTCACCCCTTTCCTAAGAGATCTGTAGGGGGCGTGCATAAGCACACCAACGTGCCTACCGTCCCTGTCCTATAGTTTCTTTTATTTTTCTTATACGTATCCATGTATTCATAACTATGTTTTTACTTATACCTATTATCTTGTAAGCAATTGACAAACCAAATAAATAAATAAGAAGGAGGAAAAATACTTATGACTAATTTCTAGGTCTTTGTTTAAAGACTTCCAGTTGTCAATGCATTATGTCCCATGCCCATCACTGAATGCTACAGGGCATTGATCATTTGCAGAGAACCAAGGAAATGGTTTCATATGTAGAAAAATTCCCTAAACCTTCACCTTAGCAATTATCTTCTGCAGGTTTTCTTTTCCCATGTAAGAAACTTGCTGTGATAGGGCATTTTCTTGCTTCAGAATAATGCTAGTCAAACAGGTTTTGCAGCTTTGATATTGCTTCAAGAGTTCCATTGTGCTTTTACAGTACTCACGCCTATAGAAGGGAACAAAGCCAAAAGAAAATTGAAGACATTTATACACCTGTCTAAAATTAGAAAACCTTATTTTTCAATGATTATGAACATGTCACGGAATCCAGTATGCCCATTCAACTCCAAAGTAACTAAGCTTTCACAAAAAGGAGGAAAAGAATTAGTAGACTTTAGGACAGACTAGGGATTAAATGCAGGAATATTCTTTCATAGTTTCATATACTATCTTAGAGGAAAATTAAAATTAGAATCATACTACATAAGGAGAGGAGTTTAACTTATTTTCAGTTTTGCATCGCCCACTCCTAAGCTGCTGTTCTAGTTATAATAGATGCCTATGACAATTGGCATCAGTTTATTATGAAGATAACTGACCACGTAAAGAGAAAAAGAGACTATGTCTCCCACAATTGGGACTAGCAACTTGGTCATTATGCAAGGCAGTTGTTAAATGAACACACAACTGTACTTATGATCTTACTTCAGCTTACAGGTCTGTAAAAATCCTAAAGGCAAGAATAGATTACAAAGTGTTTTTTTCATCACAGTTGTAACTGCAAATGGTTACTAAACAAGGCAGTCACTAAATGAGGACTACCTGTATACATCACTGGCAGCATAATGCCTACATTGTATGTATTGATCAAATTTTTAAAGCTGCTCATCTTTCTAAAAGTGACTCTGAACAACATACAACAATCAAATAAAACCATAAATATGAAAACAACACATAAAAATATAACAGTCCATATTTAAAATAAATATTATAAAAACAAATATACAAAGTGAGCAAGGAGACGATAAGAATGGCCATTTCAGAATATCAAAGTAGGAGATCCCTTCTTGGACTCTTTCACTTAGAATGCTAGGAGGAGGAGTTTTCATTCTTTCATAGTGAAAATTTTTAATTCTCTGACATTCTACTTTCTTACCAACATAGAGAGTTTCTTACACAAACTAAAATTCAGTCATGTAGTGTCAGGTTATCATTTAAAAATTGTAATATACTTCCAAGTAAGAGAACTGACCCAGCCAGGATTAATGAGAATTCTGGCTTTCTATGAACAAGTCAACACACTTGTTAAATACAATATATTGCTTGTGTATACATTTTTCTTTCAAAAATAATGTTCTTTTTTCAATTTCTGGTCACATTTTTCATCATTTTCTTTTTATAGTATTTTAACCAAAAGTTCCAGGTTGATTTTTCCCACAACCACAGGCAGAAAATATGGCTTGCTCTTGGCTTCCGATAACTGACTTGTTTGACAGTTAATAATTTTGATCAACATTTTTTTTTCTTTACCGTCCAGTTAAAGAAGATAGAAAAGGGAAGTTATGTGTTCCAGCATGAGTAATAATTTATCTCTAATTTATTGCAATGTGTGAAGATGGGTAATATTTCAGCCTACAGTTGCATGAAATATAGCAGAACAGCATATAGAGTATATAGTACAGTCCTAATGAAATCTATTCAGAAGTATGTTTTATTGAATTCCAGTAGGACTTCCTTGGAGGCCCATATAAATATAGAATTGTGACCTACTTTTCCGTAATGGCAACTTTAGTCTTCTTCCATAGGTCCTGCGTACGTTTCCACTGCTGACTGACTTCATTCTCCTGGGCTTTTGGCAACTGGGAAAATTGACTAATCTCATTCAAGGCTTTCATTTCTGGAGCACAGCGATCCAGCTTTTTCCACAGTTCATCAAGCAACTTCAACCTATATTATGAGGAGAAAAAAATAGATTGATACCTTATAATTTCATTGTGACTATTCTGATATTCTTTATTTTAAAATACTTTCAGATTTATGATGTCTATAGAGATTCTCAGTCATCCAGGTAATGGTTGTCCCAAAGATGCTTTTTCAGGAGGCAACTGGACTTCCTTGTTAGAGCTGAAGAAGCTTCTTGGTTGAGAAGTGAAACATCTTCAAAGAAAAACAAGAAAGTCCAGTTGTCTCCTGAAAAAGCATCTTTCAGATTCATTATGTTGTATTTTATTATGTTGTATTTTATCATTATATTATTTTAAAATACTTCCAGTTTCCAGAAGGGCTTCACCTTCCATAATTCCCAACCATATCTAAGAATTAATGAAAAAAAGTTTCTCACCTTTGTGAAATAGCAGGAATTGTTGGGTCCTTCAAGCCTATCACACTGATTGAATCATATATATCTTGAAGATTTTTAAATAGCTCATTATTCCTTAAGGAAAATTCTTCAGTCTTTTGATTCTGAGTTGCTTCAGAACTAATAGAGGGGAATTCTTTTACAAGTAAAGCTGCTACGAACTCTTCACAGCCCATCTTTTTATCACTTTCAGCCTCTACCAAATAGATATGAAGTTGCTTCAATTTCTCATCTAGAGACTTGGCCTCTTTCTCCAGGTGAGAAACCTCCTCCATTGACTGTGGAGACCAGCTCAGCGATGTAGAGGCATCCATAGAACATTGAATACGTCTCAGGGAAGCCAGAAAACTTTCAAAATCTTGCAAAACTGTTTCAATGGCTTGTATCTTTTGATTCAGTTCTTCTAACTGTATTTTATACTCGCTGATCATTAAACCAATGGCCTGCCTATCTCTTTGGTCAATTGTCCATCCTGCAGGGCTCTTTAGTTCTTGGCTGTTGCATTGTTCAATACAATTTGATATAGATGCCTGAATTTTCTGAAAGAAAGAATGATAAGATCAGGACACTATGTTTTATGCATATTATTAACCACAATGCTATTACCCTTGCTAAATCTGAGGAATGAGAGATGGCTCTATAGCAAAATATTAGGCTGCATACTTTTATTCAGAAAGGTACAAGTTGAAAATCTGACTTCTCTAAGTAAGGCTGGAAAAATTCCTGCCTGATAGTCTAAAAAGCTATTACTGGTCAATGTTGATAGACCAACTTGATATAAAGTACTCTAGTTTCTTATATTCCTAAGCACATCTACTTTTGTAGATGAAAAATGATGAGAAGACACATTTATTCTTCAAGGGGAATAAACAGATTTGGAAGAAAGCACTTAAAGAAATCTTTGGGCCATAATAAATATTGTAGTATAACACAAAGTAAGAAAGATTCAGAACCTCTCTACCACTTTTCGTTAGAGAAAAATGGCTGAGATTGGGAAGTTTTAACTCAGAAAAGAGGAGGCTTCAGCATTTCTGTTTCCAAGTTCTTTTCTGAAAATTTCTTTTTGCAATTTTGCACTTAGGAGTTCTGTGAATATAGGTAATGCTCTAGATGAATCTGGTGCTAACCTACTGGAGATGAATAGGTGCGCTTCAAATTCCAAAGAAAATTTCAACATAATCAGTACAAACCTTCGCTTTCTTGTACAGAAGATCAGTTTTACTCATCACAAAACGTGGGATGTCTCTTTTGCAAAGCTGTTCTTCTGATCTGCAGAGTAAGACCCACTCATTTTCTATTGGCATAACAAGGGCCAAAGCAGCCTTTAAAGATTCCATCCTGCAGGACAGCAAACGCAAATGGAACAGGACATCACTTAAGGAAATGTCTCCATACTTTGTACAATATATAAGGACAGAGAAGTTCTTGACACAACTCCATTAACAAAGAATGTGGTATATACCCAGGAATTTCTGTTTTTTTGCTTTTTCATTGAAGTTCATAGGTCTTAGCTTTTGAGGATCAGCCAGGCTTTGCAAAATTTTGATTAACAGCAGTAGGATAATCAACGCCCTAACTCACCATTTTGTCTAAAATATCAAGCCCATGTGAGCCTAAAGAAAAAGTCTAGAAAAAGAGCAAAACTTCCCAAGATCACTTTCATTGCCTGCAGAAGTTATTGAAAGAACTGGCCATCCATGTGGATGTGCTATGCTTGACAAATCTAATTGGATATAATGTTTGATATCAGTTACTACGACTTCCCTTAGGAGTTCATAATGATGATGGGGTAACTTGAGCACATCTTTGTTATCTTCATTTCTGGGGAATTTCTGTTCTTCCTTTTTATGACTAGATGAATATATTTTTTTAAAAAGGACACCTTCCTAGAAATCAATCCAGATTGTGCATTATAACTTCTTCTCACTTTCTGTGGTCTCAGTCCATAAGGAGTACAAGCCATCCCCTCTTCACATGAACAGCTGAATACTTAGGAGGCAATCTGCAAGCTAAACTAACTTTCCCCATCTCTCACACCATCTGATAAGTCAGACTCGTTCAGAATAGGGCATCACTGATTTTCTTGAAGACAAAATCTATGTGTGCTTCCCTTATGTCCAGTCAATTAGCCCACTGCTTCATCAAGCTTTAATTTGCCAACTGTACCTTTTATCTAAAGCAAACTGGAGCTCATCCCATTCTTTGTGCAAATCTTCCAAGTCCATCTCACTTGAGAACTTTACTAACTGTGAAGCCACAGAATCAAAGAGTTTCCAGGAAGAATTACCTTTGCTTTCTAAAGCCTGAAACAAAATGTATAAATATTAGTGGCGTGCTATAATTTTTAAGTAACAGTATCGGATTTATAAACACAAACACAGAAATAATTTTAACTATGCTTTTTTCCATAGTTTACCATAGTGTGTTAACTGAGACAAAGCACAACCCTTGTCTATTGATTATAATACATTCATATAAATTCCAATTGGAATATTAATAAATTTAATTACTTTAATAATTAAAACAAATAATTAAATTAAATTAAATAATTTAATTCATTTGTCAATTTCTCTGCACAGGAACTTAATGAATGATCAATAACTACCAATGCTAACCCTGTTAAAATTGAAAAGAATAATGTATTATTCAAACTCTTGTGCTAGACCCTGCTACATTCCAAGAAACAGTTAAGGATGGCAAAATATAATCTTTACTTTTATAAGAAGTACATAAGCATGTAACATGTCCTGCAATGTTTCTTTTGTGAGCTGTTCCATGGATGACCCATTAGAATCCATTTGTTTTTTACTGCGAAGATAAACACCTGTCTACATAATACCCCAAGATAATGTTTTGTGCTTGTGTGCAGCAAATTGCATTGTGACATTCTTTGGCATCAGCCAAGCTTCCTGTCTTATCAATTTAATTTTTTTAAATTCTTTTTTAAATTAGTATTAAGTTAACAGGATATAAACCAAATAATCTGTCTCAAACATAATCTTACACTGCTACTGGCTCTCTCCGTGGCCCCCGAGTTCACTGTCAGAAACTCAAATGGGGATAGTTGTATTTTAGGCTGTTGTTTGTGCTCTGGTTTACAGGTATTTTGTAACTGACCTAATAACCTGACCTAATAACCATTTTATGAACATGTCCATATTCTCTCAAAATTCCAAACATAATCACTTGTGCTAAATGTCTGAGGAACCCTGACTTAATAGACCATTTAGGAAAGCATCTGAACACTTACTTCCAGTGTTTGCAATTTGTTCTTAAGGGAAGAAATGTTTCTCACATCATCAGTTAAAGACGGAGTTATAGTCTCCCTGATGCTCTTTAGGTGAAGCTTCAGATTATGTCTTGCTGTGTCATAGCTGAGAGAAAACATGATATTATTAGTACTATTATGCAAAATTGGACATGAAAACAAAATTCCGGTTTCTTCTAATGCTGCCTTCTCCTTGTCTTCATGAAATAATACAACTGTTTGTTTTTTTATTGCTTTACTTTCTAATTTGTTCTATTAGCCATCTTGATTTATATAATCATCTTCTTACTTGCACATCCTAAATGAATGGGTTTTTTTTTATGTTTAAGTTTATTTTCTGGCCAGGAGCCACAAAAACTATGCACAAAAAGAAGCAGGTTCTTAAACTAAATGTTCAACATGCAAATAAGCAAATCCAACCAGGAGAGATCTGATTTCTGAGGCTGAGGAAGGAACACTGCGGAGATTTCCTAAAGGGAGATAAAGCAAGACACTCAATTGGAACAGCCCTAGTCTATTTCAAGACCAAATAATTGTGAAATCTAAAATAATTATTCAGACTAGTCCAAAGAAGGGAGGGAATGAGGAAAATGCATTTTATGTTACTCTTTATAATAATTCTAGGACTGGAATCTATCAGATTAAAACATGGTAAACCAGTTTGAAAATGCAGCTTTATTAAAAAAAAAAAAAAAAAAGATGTTTGCAAATTTATTCCAGATATTTCTGGTAAATACCTATTTCTCGTCATTCAATATTTAACACTGAAATATACCTTTCTTTTAATTTTTTTAAGGCCAAGTCTCCATCACTTTCCAACTTTTCTGTGTGGTGTCTGCCATTTTGCAATTCCTTTTCTGATTCCAATTTTATACAAGAAACATCTTCTGAATCCTAAAAATATAACCAAAATAATTAAACAATTGTAAGATATAATATCCATTAAAATAATTATGTAGATTCAATGGAATGAGACCTTATTAATTTTCTATATAAAAGAAATCTCACCCCCAAAATTAAACACTTTAAAAGACTGAAGATTACAAAGTCACAAGGAAAATTACTTTCACAGATTTATTTTACCCTAATTCAGGACATTTTATATGAAAAGTTGGGATATTGAACATTTATGTTTTCCCATTCATGTTGATAAAGAGGAACTTTCCATATGCATAAAGGCTGCATTCATCCATACCTAAACTTAAATGTCCTTATCACAGTATTTTTTCCTATGTATTAGGAATAGTAAAATAGTAAATGTGCTCAGACTAGAAAGTACATGCTTTACAGAATACAGATCAAAAATGCTTATAGAAGGTAGTTTTTAAATCAATCTGAATTTTCAAATAAGCACCTGAGATTTGCTCTCTAGTTTATCAGTTAGAATTATGAAAGTGACAACTATTATTCCTCACAATTTCTTTTACACTAAATAAATAAATGACTATGCAGAATAAATAAATTCGGCTATATATTTTTATTCAAAACTATTATCGGGGGGGGGGGGGGGGGTTGTTGTTAATACTAATGGGAACTTCCAAGATGTTTTTAAATTAGATTTATCCAGACATAAAATTCCAAGGCTGTCAGGGGAATAACTCATGCCTGAATTCAGGAAGGATTGTAATAACTTTTTCTGCTTCTTTTAAAAAGTTGCAATATAGGAAAAACTTGATCTGAAAGGCCTCAGTGCATCAGACTTTACATACAAAGGATGAAATTTAACTGCAATTTATGTCATCTGCATCATAATGCTGTGATGCAATGGTGTTGAAGATCCACCTCAAGGCGTGCCTGTGATTTTCACCGCCTTCCGTTCTGACCCAGCTCCCCAAACACAACAAACCCTCTGATGTGTGAACTCAAAACATTCCTTTATTAGAAATGCCAGCAAAAAGTTTCTCTCACATGCTAACAAGTCCATCTGGCCAGAAGATTAATAGTTGTCTGCCACACCTATTCATCTCCACCCCCTGCCTTTTATCCCCAGAGCTAGGGTGCGGCCTCATCAGCAGTGGTGGCTCTTCCTTCCCCAGGATCAGTCCACGGTTTTCCACTGCTCTCCCCTTCTCTGCCTTCTGCATATCCACGCATCAGGCACTGGACCCAGCTGTTCCTCCCCTTCTTCATCAACCACCTCCAGACCTGGGGGCTGTTGACTCTCCATCTGAGGACTGATGGATAGCCCAGGCTCCACCTCTGTCTCTCTCTCCCTACCAGCTCCATTCCTTCTTCCCCCTCGGAGCTCCCAGATCGCCCTGATGCTGACCCTGACCCCCACGCCACATCCTCCTCCTCCTCTGATTTGGCTGCTGGAGGGGCCAGCAGCCGACAGGCCACAATACCTTCTTACCCCACTCACTGTCCCCATAGCCAGCTATCCAACTGGTCTGAAGTGTCCAAGCAAAACATCTTGGTCAGTGAGAGGGAACTTCCAGGGAGAGGAGACCTGCAACTGCTAAGCCCAGTATTTCTCAATCTTTGCAACTTGAAGATGTGTGGACTTCAAGCTGCTAAAGGTTGAGAAAGACTGGCTTAGCCAGCTGCACTCTGGAAGCCCAAGGAGTTAGCACTCAAGGTAAAAGTCAGGAGGTGATGATGCAGAAGGGATGCAACGGACTGCTTGTACCTCAGGGGGATGCAGGATAGCTGCTTATTATAAGATAAGAGTTCATATTAAAAGCCTTGATATCAAAAGGTATTAATGAATTAATAGCATGACTGCTATGCTATACTAAACAGACCTTATAATCACCAATGGAGAAAAGTATTGTGCGAAGAATGGCAAATACTACAGTACCTTATGAATTTCAGGTTTCCAATCTGTGGCTCTGTGATTCATGCAAGAGTGTCACATAATAACAAATAGGCATTGATCTACAGACGTTTATCTACAAGCATCAGTCTTGATCAACCAGTTGGAATGCAACTCCCCAAACTCAGCTTTGGATTTGGGAAGGCTGATCTACATGAACATTAAAATGTGGGTCCTACCTTTTCAGCTTCAGGATTCTGAGATGATACCTTCTCTTCATTGACTGAAGCAGATGTAAACTCTCTGAATTTTAAAATGAAATAACACCAGAGCAAAGCAATGAAAAATACATCTTAACACGGGGGGGGGGGGGGGGAGAGGAAGCACCATCCCAATTCTATGTAATGTTACTAAGAAAATAATTCAAAGTTTCCCAAACTTCATTTCTTATTTTCTCTCCCTCTCATCTCCACTCCTGGCTCTTCCTTGGAATTCAACATGTTTTATTCATACATCACAAATAGTAGCATCTGCAGGGACTTGCTATTTTCATTGCAATGATGAAAGCAACATTACAACATTGTGCTATAAGTTCTGCCCTTTTGGGGCACATGTGATACTGCCATGCGTGTAAAAAATGGTTGGAACTGGTGACATAAAATCACCCCACTGCTGTTCTTAATTTTTCTTTGCCCACCCCTCCCCGTGATCCCCCCCCATGTACCCCTTTCAAAAAAAGTACTTTAATTTCAAGATCAATTTACACATAATGGTGAGTTATAAGCTTCTTCCTCAAAATAGCTTACCACACTACACACACTTTTGCAAAATGTCTGGTTTTAATTTACAGCATAATGAAATCCATTACTCCAGCCATGAAATGAGGGACAGTCAAAGGTGTGAAATAGTTTAAGAATCTCTCACAAAAGCAATTTTATTTGATGCTAAACCAACTATAAGTGCCCCCATGCCACAGTTCTACACTAATTATTGAAAATACCCACCCTTTCTCAGGTGAATGGTCATCGCCAGTCCTAGATACCAACTGATTGTAAATAGTTGCTGCGCATTTTTGAAGTTCTTTTTCCTTTTGCTCATATTCTGCAATTGGCAGCTTTATTTTGGACTCCTTTTCCACTTTGGTTATTTTATCACTCATTGTTTTCAAAGCTTGCAAGCAAGTGTTAAGCTCACCCAGGCTACCTTGCTGAGAAAAGAAGGCCTAAATGGATAAAGAAATGCAGATTCATCCATCTTGAGTACTCCAAGTCCTTATTAACTGACAGTTGAAATCACCTGCACTCATCCCATAAAACTCTTAATGCCAGTCCCAAGAACACATTTAAGCCTCACCTAACCAATCGTATTCTTGAAGGGTCATGGCTACGATTACATTATGGATAAGGAATGTCTGCTGAAATTCAGAAGCCAGAGGGCTGACCTGCTAACTTATTCAATTGTCTGTTGATGTGAAGTTGAACTGTTTGCTCCATTAAATGACCAAATCATATGGTGCTTCAAATTCAATATCCAAAGGTGCCTTGGAGTATGCATCATGGCAAATGTAATATCTGCCAAATTCAAAGCAGGGACATGCTCCAAGGCACTTTTTGGGGGGGGGGGGAGAGTCCAAAGCACTGACAGCCAAATATCAGAGAAAGAACTAAAAGGATCAGAATACTTACCCAGTACTGTTCACCGGTAATTTAGCTCACAGGTACCATTTTGGATTTAAAAAAATTATCCTTACTTACTGTAGACAGTCAGAATATGCACACTTTCAGCTCAGGCATATAGATTTTACTGAACTAGTAGGTTATAATTATTTCACTTTGGGACATGCAGCTCAACAACTTACTAAACACATGACTGCATCATTATACTACAGCATCATTCAATTTTACACTGTTTCCCAGTTGAGCAGGCAGACAATTCCAGTATGGGTTCTTGGCCTCCCCCAGTGACAATGACGTCAGGAAACAGAGTCAAAGGAAATCTCTTGTGGCATTGAGATACTAGAGAACCACAATTGTAATTCTAACCCATTACATGGTGGCTTGTAGAATTTAAAAAAAATGCCTAAGAAACAAAAAAGAATGCCAGTTTTATATGGTACCTCATGCTCCTCAATAAGTCCTTTGGTTTTCCCAGAATTGAGAAGTTTCTTCTCTTTCTTTATCTGCTTATTGAGATTTGAAAAAGTCTTATTGAACTTCTCTCTTTCAATTTTCAATTTCAGGTGAATATAAGACATGATTTCACAGCGAGCAGCCTGCAAAAGAGATGGACAAATCCAAATATTCATTTTAAGCAGCAAGGGAAACATTTTACATCCAAATCTTGTTCTAAGATCAGAATAACATTTTAGATTCAGAATAATCCTGCAAGCTATGTGTTTGTTCATTACAACCTTCCTGAGTTTCCACTCAAGGCAGTTAACAGTAAAATAAACATAAAAGAATGAAATTGTAATTAAAAGATTAAAGTTCATCCAAAGGATATGTAGATAAGAGAAAGAGAGAGAATATAGAAGGGTTCACAAAGTCCTCCTCTACATATTTGTTTGATATACACTTCTCAAAAAAAATAAAGGGAACACAAAATAAGACATCCTAGATCTGAATGAATAAAATATTCTTATTAAATACTTTGTTCATTACATAGTTGAATGTGCTGACAACAAAATCACACAAAAATTATCAATGGAAATCAAATTTAGCAACCCATGGAGGTCTGGATTTGGAGTTATACTCAAAATTAAAGTGGAAAAAAACACTACAGGCTGATCCAACTTTGATGTAATATCCTTAAAACAAGCCAAAATGAGGCTCAGTAGTGTGTGTGGCCTCCACGTGCCTGTATGACCTCCCTACAACGCCTGGGCATGCTCCTGATGAGGTGGAGGATGGTCTCCTGAGGGATCTCCTCCCACACCTGGACTAAAGCATCCCCCAACTCCTGGACAGTCTCTGGTGCAACGTGGCGTTGGTGGATGGAGAGAGACATGTGTCCCAGATGTGCTCAATTGGATTCAGGTCTGGGGAATGGGTGGGCCAGTCCATAGCATCAATGTCTTCGTCTTGCAGGAACTGCTGACACACTCCAGCCGCATGAGGTCTAGCATTGCCTTGCATTAGGAGGAACCCAGGGCCAACCGCACCAGCATATGGTCTCACAAGGAGTCTGAGGATCTCATCTCAGTACCTAATGGCAGTCAGGCTACCTCTGGCGAGCACATGGAGGACTGTGCAGCCCCCTAAAGAAATGCCACCTCACACCATTACTGACCCACTGCCAAACCGGTCATGCTGGAGGACGTTGCAGGCAGCAGAACGTTCTCAATGGCTTCTCCAGACCCTGTCATGTCTGTCACATGTGCTCAGTGTGAACCTGCTTTCATCTGTAAAGAGCACAGGGCACCAGTGGCGAATTTGCCAATCTTGGTATTCTCTGGCAAATGCCAAACGTCCTGCACAGTGTTGGGCTGTAAGCACAACCCCCACCTGTGAACGTCGGGCCCTCATACCACCCTCATGGAGTCTCCTTCTGACCATTTGAGCAGCCACATGCACATTTGTGGCCCGCTGGAGGTAATTTTGCAGGGCTCTGGCAGTGCTCCTCCTGTCCCTCCTTGCACAAAGACAGAGGTAGCGGTCCTGATGCTGGGTTGTTGCCCTCCTATGGCCTCCTCCATGTCTCCCGATGTACTGGCCTGTCTCCTGGTAGCGCCTCCATGCTCTGGACACTAAGATGACAGACACAGCAAACCTTCTTGCCACAGACATCCTGGATGAGCTGCACTACCCGAGCCACTTGTGTGGGTTGTAGACTCCGTCTCATGCTACCACTAGAGTGAAAGCACCACCAGCATTCAAAAGTGACCAAACCATCAGCCAGAAAGCATAGGAACTGAGAAGTGGTCTGTGGTCACCACCTGCAGAACCACTCCTTTATTGGGGATGTCTTGTTAACTGCCTATGCTTTCCACCTGTTGTCTATTCCATTTGCACAACAGCATGTGAAATTGATTGTCAATCAGTGTTGCTATCTAAGTGGACAGTTTGATTTCACAGAAGTGTGATTGACTTGGAGTTACCGTATTTGCCGGCGTATAAGACGACTGGGCGTATAAGACGAGCCCCCAACATTTCCACTCAAAATATAGTTTGTTATATACTCGCCGTATAAGACGACCCTCCCCACTTGGAGGCATGTTTTTCAGGGCAAAAAAGTCATCTCATATGCCGGCAAATACGGTAAGTTGTAACACTTGGGGTATTCTGGATATAATTCTTGATTGACACCCCCGCCCCTTTCCCCCAAACTTACAAAGCCACCAAAATGCTTTAGAGAGGCAGCTTCGCCTTTCTCAGGCTGGCACTCAATTCCTCTCCCTTTCTTTGTGACAGCCCCCGCGTGCGTGCCATCGGGACTCCAAGGGTGGGGGATGGACAGCTGCCAACTCTCTCTCTCTCTCTCTGTGTGTGTGTGTGTGTGTGTGTGTGGTGTGGAGGGTAATTCCGGCTATCTTTGGCCTCCGCTCGGTTTTAAAGTCGCTTGGCCGGTTCCCAAGTCGCAAGCGCGCGCTGGCCAGGAGACGCGGCGCCGGGTGGAAGCTCGGTGCAGGGGAGGCAGATCTTTCTCTCTTAAGTGGGGAGGGGAGGAGGGGACAAGAGGAGGGACGGGACGGGACAGGGGGCGGGAGGAGGGCGCTCGCCTTCTTCCACCGCCCACCGGACCCTTTTCTTCCCAAGGGGACCCTGGAAAGCAGCTCGGGAGCCGGGTGGCCCTGCCCAGCGGGGTCCCATCAGGAACTTCCTGAGGACACCCCCCCCGCCCCAAGCACAGCCCTCCCGGTCTTTCAAAGAGGGAGGGAGAAGCGGGAGGAGCAAATTGCCGCCCCCGCCCCGCTGCCCAGAAGGAGGGGCGCCACAGTCCACCCCCCCCACCTTCTCCCCCCCCACTCCCCGGGCCATTACGCGGCTCGGGGCTGGCTGGGCGAAGCGGCCCCGCCAGAGACCCTCCCGCTCCACCCCCACCCCACCTCCAGATTGGCCTCCGCAAGCGCCCCGAGCCGGGCGGAGGGTGGGTGGGTGGGTGGGAGGAGGAGGAGGAAGAGAGACTTCGGCTGGGCTTGAAGGGGCTTCGCAAGTTGCGGAGCTCCGCCCCCGTCGCTCTTGCACCGAGTGACAATGTATTTACCGGCGTATAAGACGACCCCCCCACTTGGAGGCATGTTTTTTAGGGCAAAAAAGTCGTCTTATACGCCGGCAAATACGGTAATTCAACTTCATTGCTTTGCCAGATCTGCTGGAGAAGTCCAGAGTTACCTTCCAGCTCAAGGCTGAAAGGAGCTACCACATCTTTTATCAGATCATGTCCAACAAGAGGCCAGAACTGATTGGTAAGGAGAATCATTCATTTGGAGGACTATTTCCACTATTAAACATTACAAATGTGCTGATGATTGAAAATGAAATCATGTTTGTGCTT